TTTTCCAGATATAATATCTTGCTAGCTTTCTAGCTTTTTTATTTGTTTGCTCAGGGTTCTGCAGAGTCTTGAGAATAGGTACAAAATATAGGTCATTTTGATATGCTTGTAGTAATATCTACTTATCTATTAAGTAAGTCATCAAAGTAATGATAACTGCTAGGTAAGATTGTTTGAACAAGGCATTAATAACAACATTCATTTTTCCAGACTAGTATTTTATTACAAAGTCATATGCTTGCAGAGTTTCTAAGTAGCAGGCTTATCTTTGAAAAAGATTGTGTTGTATCTTGATATATCTAAGGAAAGCATGATTAGTGTTTATAGTAAAATGTTGTTCTTCCAGATACATATGCCCAGTATAGATAGCATTGACAATTGTCAACAACTTCTTTTCATATATAGCATAGTTTTATTTAGCTGATGATAATTTCCATAATTTGTATACTACAGATTGTTTTTTTTTTCCTTAATTTTGTGTTAGGATAGTTTCAATAGTAAGTCAAAGGCATTTGTGGTTACTATAAAGAACTTGGTTGGGTCTGGCAAGACTAGTACAGGAGTGGTGATTAGTTTTTCTTGAGCTGTTGAAATACTTATTGCGTAGTGTCAGTCCATTCAAATAAGATATTCTTGTATAGGAGGGCAGTAAGAGGTGCAATAATAGTAGAAAATTCTTTAACAAATTTTTAATAATAACTAGCTAATTCTATAAATAATCAGACTTTAATGCCATTTGATAATGTAGGTCGTGTTTGAATAGTTTCAACTTTTCGAGGATCAACAGAGATTCCTTGTTTAAAAATAAAGTGTCTGATATATTTGACTTGTTTATATATTAGTTTGTACTTCTTTGCCTTAGTATATAATTTAAGTTCTCGAAGGGTATTCAAGATATTTTGAATGTGTTCTAGATATTCTTCCTTGATTTAGCTATAAATCAAAATATTATCCAGATATACTATAATAAACTTATCCAGATACTCTCAAAAAATATCATTCATTAATATCATAAAGATGATATAAACATTGGTTAATCCAAAATGGAAAACAAGAAATTCAAAATGTTTATATCTTATATGAAAAGTGGTCTTATAAATATTAGTATCCTTAATCCTAATTTGGTAATATCCAGAGTAAAGGTCAATCTTTGAGAAGTAATAGATACTAGTTAATCAATTCATTAGTTCTTCAATATAGGACAATAAGTACTTGTTCTTGATAGTAATTTTGTTTAGAGTATAATAGTTTATACAAAGTCTCAAGATTCTTTTTTTTATAGACAAAAAGTACTGGAGCATTAAATAAAGAGATGCTTGATTGAATAAATCCTTTAACAGTCAGATCAGCAAGCTGTTTCTTTAGCTCATTCATTTTCAAGTATGATAGTCAATAATTTAATCTTGATGGAAGTTTCAATTCAGATATCAATTAAATGATATAATTAATATTTTGTTGGAGTAATAGTTTGTTAAACAATTCTTTAAGAAATACATTAGCAAATTTTGAATTAGAGCTTGTTCCTCAGAATTCAGTTTCTTGAGAATAATGGTAGAACAAATAGCAAACAATTCAGCAACTTCAAGATAGCAGCTAACTGATGTCGAAAGATATAAATGGTAAAGTATTCAAAGGTAGTTCCAGGTTTTTTGATATTAATATTGATGATAATGGTATGTAATTTATATTGAAAAATTAGAGTATTGCTTCTCCAATTGATATAGGGGTTAGTATAATATAACCAGGGCTTTTCAAGTATGACATTATATTATTGCAAGTCCAGGAGCTAGGCATTTATTTCAAAAATTCAATAGTTATCAAGTTCAAGTTTTTAAATAAAGACTTTCTAAATTACATTCTTCTTTCTTCCATTGACAAGTTCTACAATAAGTAGTGCAGTGATAGTCTTTGGCAGGTGATTGTGTTTGGCAAACTTCTTATCTACAAAGTTCCAGAATGCTTCACTATCCAAGAAGATTTAGATAAATTTTTCATTAATCATTTCATTAAATCAGAGCAATTGTTTCTTATTTTTTTTCAGATAAATGAATTCAACAGTAGTATCTGTTTCCATCTGATGAATTTTGACATGAAATCCAGAGGAATTTCTTGAGATATATTCAGGGCAGTTGCACTTATAGCAGAGATTCTTTTGTCATTGTTTCTGTCATTCTATAGATTTTAAGTACTTTAAAGTGATCCATAAATTTCTTCTTTCACCAAAGTTTACCAATAAATTATCTCAGGCAAAGGATACATGTAGTTAGACATCCTACTGACTAACTGTTTACTTCATTAGTACTTTACAAGATTAGTAAAATACTTTTGTACTTGTCATAGAATTCTGAATCACTTATTAATATGCTTAAACCATTCTTTATGAGATCATTAAGTAATATCGATAATGGCTTCAAAATAGTCTTGAAACTATATATGATTAAATCAAAAAAACTATTGGATGGTATATAATTATTTCTATCAATCATTATATCATTTTTGATGGTTACCTAATAATTGCCAGGTTTGTTATCTATTTTCTTGATCATTTTTTGAACTTCTCTTTTAGTGAGATTATCATGATCAGCTATAATAATGTATCTTGAGATACCTGATTCTGGATTGTCCAAGGTGATAGTATGCTCGTTGTCAAGGATGATAGCCTTCCATTTCACATTTTTGCAAGATTTTTTGGGTTTTCTATCTCCATAGTTTTATGTTTGTGAATACTATTATAGTATTTTTTCCATTTGATGTGACTATTGAAGCTTTCACTGCAAACAATACATGTACATGCTTTTGCAAGTGGATGTTGTTTTGGTAAAGGTTGTTTACTTGCTGATTTGTCCGATTTCTTTTTCTCTTAAAGTTTTCCTTTTTGAAGATGTCTTCTTCTCTTCTTTTTAGATAAGCTCGGGTTAGGTTGAGAAGAAAGAACTTGTCATTTAGAGTTACTAAAGCAGACAGAAGAGACCTTTCCAATCTATTTAGAAAAAAGTTCCTTGATTTGAGACAACTGTTCAGTTGGATCAGAATATTTGAACATAGTATAATAGAAAAAGCTAATCTCTATTGTGATATTAACCATGTTGCTATTGTATTGGTTTGAGATAAAAACTTCTATCTCTTACTGTTTTTGAAAAAATTTCTTATAAAGAAATTATTTTATCAAAAAGTGGTTAACGGAAAAGAGTTTTTTTTCTAGTTTTTGTAAAGACTAGAATCAATAAAAATAATAAAATAAGAAAACTATTAAATTTATTAATTAAAAAAACTAAAATTACAGTAAGAAAAGTAATAATATAAAAGAATAAAAATTTAAAGAAGATCTTAATAAAAAGAATAAAATATAAAATAAAATAATTGGATTTTAATATTTATCCAAATTTATTAAATAACCTATAGTAATAATTTACAAGTAATAATGTTAATAGTTAAAAAGATTTTATCTAAATTATTAATAAAGTAATAAGTTATTTCTAAAGTTATATTTAAAGTTAAGTTAATTAAGACAAACAAGTTAATTTAAGTTTTAACTTTAGTGATATATAATTTTTTTCAAAAGTTTGAGTTCACTTATTATGTTTTTATTATAAATTTCAACTTTGATAATTTTTAAATTATTAACTATATAGTTAAAAATTATAAAATTTATATTTATTATGTTTTTAATACATATTTTATTTTTTAAAAAAATTTTATTAATATAATTAAGGATTTAAAAATTATCAAAGTTAAAATTTATAATAAAAATATAATGAATGAACCCAAACTTTTGAAAGCAATTATATTACTTATATATATGGCTTATAAATTGTTTAATAATGTACATATGATTAACTTGATAGAGAATTAAAAAAAAATAAAAATAAAAAAATAATTTTACTGTAAAAGTAAAATGAAAAAAACTTTATTTTGAAAAATATATAGTATAAAAAAAATTATATAAACAAAAAAACCATATTCAATAATTGAAAATAAATTATATAATTAAATAAATTTAAATTTCTTTTAATTTTATGAATATTAGTTGAAAAAAAGCAAACAAATATATAATAAATCAAGATATACAAACAATCAAGTTTGATATATGATTTGGAGCTATATAATAATTAATGATATTGATAATTTAATTAGAATTCAAAAAAATATGAATAATAATAATCTTTGAATTATTGAATTATATAAATTTACCAACCAATTATATCAACATTTAAATTTGAATAAATAAGCGAAGTGTGGATATACTAGATGGTGGATGTTAATACTGTATACTTATGACGTATTTAGTTTTATAATATACAGGTCAAAACAAATAGACCACTAATAAAAAATAAATGCTAATAGTTTTATATGTTTTACTAAATAAAGAAAAACAATATATGCTGTATATTTAAATTGAAAAAAATCTAACCAGATGTTTCGTTTTTTTTTTGTCTCCGACAAAGAATTGTACTGTACATAAAATATAATTTACCGTTTTATATGTGTTATGTGTTATTTATTGGAGGAATTGTATGTAAATAAGTTTATATACAAACTTATTTTGAAGTGCATACTTACAGTTTATCATCAAATTTCCCGGAAAGCCTTTCGGCCTGCTTTCGATATTAATTCAGACATTCGGGATATATAAAAATGGGAAATATTCTCGACGCGTTACAATGATTCGTTGAATTTGATCTTAAACATACTTTGACTTGAGTCATCATTATAATCGTTTTTTTTCCTCTTCTTTACTAGAGAATTCTCTCTCGCTTAGTTCCAATACTAATCTTAAGTCATCACTTTTGTTCTTGTATTCCTTCTTAATATCTTCCAATATTTCTATGCATTCCCTACGGTTTTTCACTAAATTAACCAGTCGTTTTCTCGATTTACTATCTTTTTTACTGGACAGTGCATTAAATAAACTGAATGATGCTAGGAGCTTTTTGAACGTATCATATTGACTGTGCATTGGATGAGGAAGGTTGTTAGGAATTAGGAATAGTTAATAACAGCTATAACGCAGATGCTAATTTCTTCACTTGCCTATCAACAAGAGCAACATGGTACCAAGCAAAGATAAATACAGCTCCGGCGGCGAGCACTAGACCCAAAGGGGTATAAAACAACATGGTCCAGACCATGAAAAACAGTATCGTATATGAGATCATCAACCACACCAGACCCAGCATGATTTTGTTTTGGGCCATGGATTCTTCATACTTTTCGAATTTTACTGAAACTTTACCCAACACATAGATCGGCCAATGAAAGAACAGAGCCGGTAGGAAGAACGGCAATTGAATAAAAAATTTAAGTGATTCGTATAGAAACGTACAAAGCGCCCGGAGTTTAGAGATACCATGTTTATCATATCTTGCTACATCGGCATCTGAAAGTTGAAGCATATCTAATGAAGTTTTGTATTTATCGAGTAGAGTTTTCGATGTCGCAATTTTTTCCTCTGAATTCGAATTCGCGTAAAAATTGATAAGACTGTGAAAACGAGGTGTTTGATTAGTTCATTGTTTCATAATCGCGTAATTTCCATGTATGATTACCTCTGAGTGACCTGCACGAAATCATCTAATGAAATATTCTTGTCATCAGAAAATAACAGAAGTCTGGTCATAGTCGCGGCATTATATGTTTTCCTGTGATTTTCAAAAATAAATATTATCGTGAAACACGCATCGAAAAAATAAAAATGAAACTCATTTTTCTTTTTGATATCACAAAATAGATGCACCAAACATACCAATCAGGCGCATTTACAGTCAACTTTTCCATTGCAGATTCAATATCTTTTGTTAATCTCTTAACCGTTGCACGGTTATCTTTTTCAAAATCCTTATCGTACGGTTCCATTCTTATCGGAGGGCCATACCTATTGATATTGTAACAAAAATTTCCCAAGTTATCGAGATAAATAATCCCGATTTAGGAAATAATCAAACTTACACAATCATCACCGTACTCCTATACTTCGATTTTTGGACGTAGGTTATTCCACATGGAAGAACTATGACTGGTCGTGATATTCCCTTTTTCTTTCTGGCATCTTCCTCCTCGCCAATCAATTCCTGTTTGCTCAAACGCGCAGAATATTCCAAGGCGGCCTATATATAGATTAGCAACAAATATTTGGTCAATACATACAGTATACTGTATATGTTATGCACGTGTACATTAAATGATTAAGATTATACTATACCCATGAGGCACCATCCTTTAATTGCAATAGACGGGATTCAGAATGAGATGTCCCTGATGTAAGTAGGCAAAAACAGGAGAAGAAAAAGAAAAACGATTAATATTGATGAAAAAAAAATCAAATGCGCACTATGTTTATTTGTACCTTCTGGGAACACGGCTACGATTTCGTCTAAACTAAGTACCTCAAATGTAGCATCGAATAATAACTGGTTGTTTTTAGTGGTTCTATCCACTGGCACGACACCGCCGCTTACTAACACAGGTCTTGTATACTTGTTAGCAAACAATGAATTCTTTGCCCAAAAGTGTAGTTTTCTCTTGTGAGGAAATGTAGTGGCTAATATTGCTACATCGACAATCATATTGCTAAATAAAATTGCAAAAGTATAATGCAATCAGCAAATTGGATTCTTTTGATTTTATTAAAAACTAAGTATATATTAATCACCGAAAATTGGTTAGCTTTGACACAAAACTTCGACACTCACCTGTGCGTTGAACAGACAATAACCGGTCCTTCCTTCGGAACATGATCATAACCGATTATTCTAACTTCTCTATAAAATCCGTGAATACTCCAACGTGCTAGAGTGGTAATGATATCGTACCAAATCCCGAACGGCATTTACTCTTTAATATATACCGTATATAATTCAATTAATTTCAGATATGATAAGGATGAATTTGTATGTCGAAAATTCTGTACGTGGCAACTTTATTTATAGGAACATAGTAGCTTGATACACGAATAACTTTAACAATTATTACTCATCTGAGATATTGTTACACTGCTGATTTTTCCCAGATCTACCACCACGCGGATCAGGTAGATTCCCCAAAACCCCATCATCAAATTTATTAAAAAAAAAAAAAAAAAAATTTTTTTATATTGAATATACGAAACCGAGACTAAACCATGAGCAACGAATCGCTTCTTACTCCTTCTCCGCTTATACCCGAATCTCGACCGGAAATTATTCAATCGCTAATCGATGGTGTAGATCGGTATAATCCCGACAACGTTTCGATCCTAGAAGAATACCTTGCCGTACAATTGCAAGTCGGAGAATATGACTTGATGGCTAACTTGGCGATTTTGAAATTGTTAGTATTTGTTTACGTTTATCTCGTCTACTTTATGAGAGATACAACTCTTTTCATTATCATAATTTGATCCACATATAATATGATGCATACCAAAAATTACGAACTTGGCGTAAAAAAATCATAGTTCAAGTATTGAAGATTATTACTTGCCCTCACTGATTTATCACTGTGGTATCATTATTGCGATTTCAATTTAGTCAGAGGGTTTTATTACTCCGATTTATTTAATTTGTTCAAAATTGTTTTCCTTCCTTCCGCAATAATCTCGACAGATATCAATTCAACCCTCACTTGGTCAATGATGCTGTTGTCATCAACATTCTCGTCAAAGCTCTCACTGCCATACCGAATCCCGACTTCAATTTGTGTCTATATTTACTTCACGAATCGGCTGTATCCTTCATTTTCACGTTGTAGTTACATAAGATAGCCTTTTCCTGTCATCTGATTAATCCTTGACACATTGTTATTATAAAAAGCTTGTCGATGAGAATGTGGCGAGACTAATTGAGTTGCAGCAATATTTGGAACAAGCAAGGTATCAAGAATTTTGGAAAGCCTACGAGTTAGACGAAACCTACAAAGATCTTACGGTCGAGGCGGTAGGATTTGAAGATGCAATACGTAAAGGTATTATATAAATTGTCTGTTCTTTCTTCGACATCATTGTATACTTAAATGTACACTCAAGCCCCTTCATCTACAATAGTAATATTGACAGCAATCTCTATGACATACCAAAATATTTCGGCAGATCTATTGGGTGCCTATCTTAACCTTGACCATGGTAAGTGTTTATTTCAATTTTCGGTTGTGACATTTTTCTTGCTTAAATACTTTTCCCTCTTTTTTTAATGTCATGCAATGAAGAGGATAAAGAATTTCAATTTTTTATCCAAAGTCGAGGCCTTACTAATGTGAATGGGGTTATCTCGATCCCAACGAACTATGACAACGAAGCAAAACCCACCGTGATCCGAGAAAATATTAAATTTGAACGTGTGTATTAATTTTATCTTTTTAAAGTTCTCTGATCATCGTGTTTCACGCCGATCTTAATAATCATTCTCCGTAGAGCTAACGAAAGTTATTGGCTACTCAAACGAATTATAACCGGCTCTCACAATTCTGAAATTTGGGGTTTCTTTATCTTGCATGCAAGTAATAAAAATGTTATATTTAATAACTTTGGAGGATGGAATGTGTGGTTTTCCTTAAAAAAAAATGTTTATTAATATATTATTACCATAAAGGTGTTCCAATAAATTAGGAACAATAGTTAAACGATACGAAAACGATTAATTTTAATAATATAATCATACAACATTATAATCGCTAATTTTTGGAGCAAGGTTTTTATTTTAATAAACAAAATTATAACAATGAAACTTGTTATATAATAATACAGAATTGAGCTAGTTTTATATTATTGTGCCTTTCTTTATCTGTAGAGTATTTCTTTTTTTTTTTTTTCTTTTTGATTTTTTCTTATTAATATATTCCTTTTTTTACTGTAAATAAAGTGCTGTTTAGAATAATTTAAAAATTATAGATCGATATATAATATTGTTTTTTTTTTTTTTTTTAATATTGTAAAATCGTAATAAGTCATAATGTAGCGATTTTTTTTAAAAAAATATAAATCTTATTATTTTTTTATTTTCTATCAGGCTAGTTATTTATGTGTGCTTTATTAAACTTTTAATAAACTATGTGTTTTTGTGTATTGCTAAAGCTAAATCTTTAACTAACACTAGTCGAAATTGTGTCATTAGGTTGCCAAATTATTGCCGAATTTGGCAAAAATTAATAATAAAAAGATTGATGAATTATTTATGATTGCTGCCACTTGGCATTAAAAATATCTGCATACAGCAAAAAAAAATTTGACACAAAATCCGGCAATATTGCAGCAAAAAAATTTTTACATATTGCAGCCAAAAATTTAACAAAAAAATTAATAGAGCGGTCAAAAATTTGGCAAAAAAATTAATACTGTGGCAAAAAATTCAGTAAAAAAATTGATACTGTGGCAAAAAATTTATAAAAAATTGATACTGTGGCAAAAAATTTACAAAAAATTTAATACTGTGACAAAAAATTTACAAAAAATTGATACTGTGACAAAAAATTCACAAAAAAATTAATACTATGGCAAAAAATTTGTCAAAAAAATTATTGCAATAAAAAATTCAAATTTCAAAAAAATTACAAAATCAAGTAATTAAATTATTCATCATTTTCCTCTTTCTTTTCTTTCTTCTTTTTCATTTGCTTTTCTTTTCTCTCTAAAAATCTCAGCTTGACTCTTTTAAAATTAACCCCAATTGATTTTACTTTATCAAATGTTTTCAGAAATTTTTCACTTTTTTCTTCTAACCTAACTATCTCCTGAATTTGATCCATTCATGCACTTTCTCCAGTTTGTTTCTTACTCTCTAAATATATTAATAATTTCTTATATTTGATAATTTTTCATCTTTTGAATTTATCTGCCAATTTTTTATCTTTTTTTGTTTCTTTTTCTTGTTTACATTTCAAAATTTCTTCCAAACTATATATCCAATTTGACAAACCTTCTGGTAGAGTCACATCATAGAAATATAAATTATCATAATATTATTACAAGTCAGCTGGAATGCTTGAATTGATTTCAAATGTTCATCCAAATATTTCAACAAATCCTTTAACTATAAATAATATAATTAATATTGTAATTATTTAGTATAAAATATTTTGTCAAAAAATATCTCTTCAGAACATTAACTATAATCATATATATTTATTCTTCTTTTAGTAGAGTTTTCCAAATCAGTCTCACTTTCTTCAGGTGAATGTACCTTTGTTTCTTTAATTATATTAGTTAATTCATTTTAATATTTGGCAACTTTCTTTGATCTTTATTTAACAAGTAACTGTGTACTTTTAATTCTTCATGCATTTTTCTTAATTATTTGTTAAAAATCAATACTTAAAAGTAATATAAATGCAAAATATTATTAATTCTACTTCATTTAATCAGCTATTTGCATGTAAGTAATGATTGTTTGCTTCCAGTTTTTCAGTTTCTGCCTTTCAATATCTTTCTCTCTGATAGCAATATAAAGCACCTAACCATTTGTTTATTTGCTTTTATAAGGGATTAAAATATGGGACCATGGATTTTATTAATTTGAGTATCAACTTTTATAATATTTTTTTTATTTATATTATTCAAAGAAACTTCATCTACCCTCAGTTTATATTTATTAAGAATGATTTTTATTAAGGTCTTCATTTTTATTCTCACTTCTTCTAGTTTTGGCTCATTTTGGATAACCGGTTTTACTAGTTTTGCCTCTTTACTACTTCTTTCAAGTTAAATTCTTTGATGCTTTTCTAAACTCAACAAGCTTTCAGATTCTGATATATCAACTGTTCTAGATTCTACAACAACTATAGGATCAAGTTTAGATTTCATTTATTTGAACTAATTAATTTTTTTTTTAAATCTTTTATTTCATTTTTTTGTTATTTTTATTCTTCAAAAAACTTGTTGTTAATATATTCCATTAGGTCTAATTGTTTATAAATTCAGTATTTTCTCTTTTTAGTTTTTCGACTTGCATATAATGATGGGTTCCTAAAGTATTTTGCATATAAAATTTTGCAGATCACTTATGTCCTTTTTTGAGGGACAAAATTCATAGCTCTTTATTTTAATAGGAATAAAGTCAGAAAATATTATAAATTAATGATTTAAATAATAGAGAACAATTATGGATAGTTTTTTTATAATTATTAATTTAAAAATTTTAATGTTTTCTAGTAAGGGACATTTGACTTTTGTCTCTATTTCCCCCTTTAACATCAGGAAATTTTTTAGGCAAAGATCTCTGGAGATCTTTAGGCGTAAATCTCCGGAGGACTTCCAGTATCGTTAGAAGTCTCTGGAGTAAAAGTTATATATATAATTCTGGAGATAATCAAAAAAATTTTCAAAAATCTTTGGAGATTATATTAAAAATTTTTTATATAATCTTCAGAGATTATCGAAAAATTTTAAATATGATAAAATACGTTTACATTAAATTATATATAAATATTATTAAAAATTTTATTCAAATAATTATTTATATTTAAAGATTATTTATTAAATTTATTTCGCATTACATATTTATTCTTTTGTAATGCTCATTGCCAAAGGATTTCTCTCTAATGATAAATTTTCATCATTTGACTCCAGATCATTTTCATTATTTTCAGATACCTTCGGAGCTTTTAGAACTTCTATTTCACTATTATTACTTATTGATTCGTTATTAGATCCATCTTCATCACTAGAATCTCCTTCCGCGAATCCGATTTCTCTTATAATTTTTTTTTAAAAATATATATTAATAAATGTTTTATGTTTCAAGAGACCTTCAAAGAACTTTGAATCTTACCCTATATTTCTTAATTTTCACTTTTAGTATCACTTTATTTATAATAATTATTTCGCTATGTGAATTTAGAACAGATTGACAAATTGCGATAGCAAATACTATTTGTTCGGTGGAGGAGTCTTCTCTTGACCAAACTTTTTCAAGAATGTACACCATTATGCTCTGATTCTTCCCTTCCGAAAGTTTGTAAAGATTATTGTAATATTCAGCTGTCTTGCGTGACTGCTTCCATGTCATAATTTCAGCGGCCGATACACTGGTGTTGATTATATTGAGTAATTCTTCACCAAAAACTGAAAACATAGTGTCGTGAACCTTCGAAGCTGTAGTCTCACGGATAGATCTGTATTGATTAATGAGCTATTAAAAAATTAGAGCATTAATAATTTAAAATAAATATATATGATTTATTGAACTTACTTCTTGCCGAATATGCTTTTCATAATATGTTTTCCATCATTTTTTTGAAAGTCTTTTGTAGAACTTTGAATGTTCCCTCTGGAAAAATTCCTCGGTTTTTTTGCAAAAGTCTTCAAATTCCGTGTATATTTTTTCTTTAAACAATTCTTTCGCAATTCCCTTGACTGCCTTCTAATAAAATATCAAATATATTATTGAAGT